TAGGGGCCAGAATTTATTTTCTCCAGACTTTTCTATTAAAATTAGCTTCCTATGGGCCGTCTTAAAGATGGCACATATTATAGAGTAGTTAATATAGAAGGAAGCTGAACTGCAGAGATTCCAAGTTGAACAAGTTTTTTGCGGACTCGAGACTTCAAAACCACCCCCATGTACTCCTTCCTTTTCCAGAAAAATGTTTTTCCTGGAAAAATGCGTTTTCGGAATTTCAGGGATGCTCATAAAAGTTTATATAAACATGAGATTACTAGCATGGGATGGATAAAAATAAAAAATGGGATGGGCGACGTGGAATTTTAGTCAGAGTTATATATTTAAAATATAGGCAATATAGTATACGTGGTGAGATTTTGGTCTTAGTGTGAGACCGTGAGACAGACCCCGAATACGTGAGTCTCATAACTGTGATTCTAATCCATAGCAATCCAGACTATTGTAAAAAAAAAAGTCTACCTTTATTTTGGTACAGCGACACCAGCGACACTACCAAGTGAAAACGAAAGCTTTAATAGTATAGAGGGGGTATGGCATCCATAGGAAACCACATAGATACAATTATCTTTAGTAAGGAAATAGATACACTGAATAAAATTAATTTCTGGAGTTGATTCAAAGGGCGCCAAACCAGCACGACCCATTCGGCCGTTTTTAATTTTTAAAAATAAAACAATTTAAAAGAACATTTTTATAACATTCAAATTCAAGTCTGAGAGTGCAATTAAATTTCCAGTCGTTTAAACTATACCATGCCTTGTATCATAGCCATACAAATTTCGTAAGTCAAAATTTTTTTTAAATTTTATTTTATTCCTTCCGCCAAGGATTATCAAAACGACCAGATTAAAGACAAGATTAATCAAGATCAATTCGGTTGTACGAAAGATATATCGATCGCAGATGCGCTGATCCGTTTACTTCATGATTGGTTTGAAGCAAGAGTGACAACCGCGAAGAAACCCCAGCCACATTTTTTAAAACTTTTTTTAAGGCATGTAACTTTATTGATCACAATATATTAATCAATAAACTGAAAGGTTTTGGTGTTGATGCCAAACTAGTTTTCTGGGTTCATAATTATATTCTGAATAGAAGACATCGTGTTAAAATAATAACTACATCTCCCCAATGGTGGTATTCCACAAGATTCTTGGTTAGGCTCTCTTTTATTTATCACATTCATAAATTATCTTTGCCCATGATGAAATATGGACGATATATCCTTTTACCAAAGAATAAAGTCTCAACATCATTCGAATGTTTCACCATATACGTGTTTTGTAGTGCACTATTAGCCTATGCATTTCAAGCTCCTGTTAGGAATTAATTGAAAACTTTTTAAAAATCTTAGATTTTAGTAAAATTTGCTCACTGCCCCAACCATGCAGAGGTTAGGGTATCTATCGCCCACTAGGGGAAGTGGCTCTATAGGTTGCCAGATGCTATTTCCAGGCATCTACTGTTATTGTTAATTATTTTTTTAGTTTTTTTTTAGCACAATATTTTTTAAACGGTTTGAGCTTAGCGGAATGGTTCATTAATAATAATGTTAGTCTTATAGAGCGCTTAAAGCAAAACAATGCTTCTAAGCGCTTTCCACATAAAAGAACTTGAAAAAAAAGGAACGACGCCATAAAATATCCTAACATTAACCAAAAAAGAAAATAAACACAGAGGAACCCTTTTCAGCGCTCCGCAGCGCCACTTAAAGCTCCCAAAATTGAGAGCTCGCTGGAACAGAACTCACAGAAGCTCGAGAAAATGGCATCTGACTATCATATCCTACCAACAAAAAATTACCTCCTCTGTTACTAGTATAGGAGATAGAACTGTTGGCTAAGTATCCTTTTATAGTCATTTGTAAACATAATATTTACATTAAAATAGCATTGTAAGAGTTGGTTCAGAGTAGAAAATGTAGTAGTAAACTGTAAACAATATATTAGATACAGTAAATATAACGCAGTTAAAATTATCCAACCACAAGTCACCCCGCTATTTCTAATATATTTATAAAATAATAATTTATATATTAAAAAGTGACTAAACTACATGTAAAAACTACCCCCGCCGAACACCGTCCCAGTATTTATGAGTGAAGTTTCTATTGTTTTTCTCTGTTTATAATGTAATGTATTTCTATACAAATCAGTAAGAAGAAAATGCCATATAAGTGCACTTCCTCAAATAATAATAATAATAATAATAATAATAATAATAATAATAATAATAATAATTTTATTTAACATAGCGCAAACAATATCCAATTAAAAAAATCACAGGCGCTGTACAAAATTTTAAAAATATAAATTTACAAACGATAAATACTCGATAGGTAATATACATTAAAAGTTAATATAGAAAATTGGAACATTAAAAATTATAACAATCACAATACAATTTAGCACATCAAAAACCGACATAACATACAACAACTTATAAATAACGCGACATGAAAGAGAACAATAAAACACAAACAACTATTTTTAGACAAGACCACCCAGCCGTTACGAAATTTACATCAAAAATTTAAGTAAAATACCGATAAATACTACTATACATCATTTATCCTGGATTAAAATAAGTAATGTATCTTGGAATAGAGGGCCTAAGTGAAATGCTATGCCGATTAAAAATTACAGTACATTGTATTTTGGAGTGAAAAAAAGGTCTTTATATTTGAAATCGGAAAACATCAGTGTCGGCGCCACCAGCGGAGGTTGAGAATGGGGTTTTTTTTTTTTTTGGGGGGGGGGGGGGTTATTCGGGGGGGGGGGGTGTTATTCCAGGCAGGAATTAGTTTTTTTGTGTAAATGGATACGTAGTGGTCGGCCTATATACTCAAACACCCCTTAATTCCACTGTAATTAAAATGTAATTTTACTGGAGTAAAACATTAATAGAAAATGTTGGAAATGATGCTTCCATTAGATCTGTTTGCAGTCAAAGGGGAGTTCATTCGAGGAAAAATTATACGCCACGGGGTGTTTACATACGAGGCGTTTATTCCAAATGAGGCTGTAGAAGGGGCGTTTATTTAAAGTGGAGCGTTTACACGGATACAAATACGGTAAGTATGGCTTCTCCCTGATCCACCCATCATATGTTTTCAAAAGCACAATATACAATACTTTGGTAGGCCTATGATGGTGACGGCAAATGATTCGAAAAACTAGGTTTCGGCAAACTGGGTTTTCATGATTTCGGTGAACTGGATTCGGCAAACTGGGTTTCGGCAAAGAGGCCATTAATTCGGTCAATCATGAGTTTCGGCAAACTGGATTTTGACAAGCTGGTCGGATACTGTTTCGGCCCCAGGGTGGACGCTAATAAGGGGTGAGCGCTGATAATTTGTAGGTTTAGCCTGGTCCTTGGCAGCAATTTTCCTTCAGATACCTGTTTGGTTGTGCACCTGTCTCACGCTCATATCTAAATTACGGTTGAGGCAAGCGTGTATGAACTACCGAACTGTGTCGTAGACACGTCGTCGCAAAAACATCTTCTAAAATATTTAATTTTGGAATGGTATTGTTGTTTTAAGTAAAAAAATATTCATATAGGTAAGTAGAGAGTGTACCATACTGTAGTTGTACAAGCCTGTGTGCCTTCATGGTGTTAGATTTAATTGCAATATCCATTGTTGTGTTGTTGTTCAGGCCTACATCTTCAGACTAGAGACTGTGTTCTAAAATTGTTTCGAGTCCTTTTCATACAATGGAATTAAGCCGGAATATCTGAGTGAAAATTTAAACAGTACAAAACAGAGCTGAAGATTTGTTGTGTAAATGACATACTTTGAGTCGTAGGCGCATGTTTGCAACCTACAATCAACAATGTAAATAGTAATCTTTAAAAGTAGGCTAAGTGAAATAATTTTAATTAATTTAATAAAGTGTAATATTATTTATATAGTGACTTAAAAACATCCGTGGGTCGTAAAGTGCGTTTTAATTTAAATACGTAGGCCTATTATAAGTTCTTGTTCACTTTGTTTTGTTTCTAGCTTTTTTCACATTCACTCACTCACCACTGAGGAAGAACTAGTGTAGTCCGAAAGCTCTGGTTCTATTTCTGGCTGTTTACTATCAAATTGGCATCACTACCGATATCCAGCTGTAAACAATTCAGATAAATGTGAATTATTGAAATGTAAGCGTTGTAATAATTAATGATAGTAATATTGTCTGGCATATAATGCAGCCTACAAAATTTCAAGTTGGCATTCCACAATTTTTGAGAATATTGACGAACAAGAATTGGCACAGGTTTTTTGGCAACCTATAGTAGATTTTCCATGCTTCAGCATCCACCGTATTTTACACTGCAATCTGAGGCATGGTTTCCACTGAGACAGATCGTACCGGAAACTACATTTATGTACGTTGTACCCGAGGAAAATTTGCCAATCGTAAAACAAATTTTTTGTAAAATATTAATAGGCAATAATATATAATCCACATGCGACTCCTCTTTCTACTCTTTGCCAAATGTGGGCCTCTTTACTATCTAATAGTAGCAAAGTTGTTGTAGATTTGTAAGGGTACAATGTGTTAATGACTTCATAAACTTGAGTATTTGTAAAAACACGGAGGATTGAAAGTTGGCAAGTTTTTGCTGGCCTATTTTTATCCTCATTTTGGGCCTTGCGGGGACTTAGCAGGGGATGTAATTTCCAAAATGGTTACATGCATGTGAGAGTCCCGGCCACCTCCTAGCAATGCGGAGCATCGTTTTAATGTACATCCCCGGCTAAGTCCCCGCCACACCGCCGTAGTCCTGGGAAAATGCCTCGCTAATAAATGATTGGAGGATAAAACCTACTTGAAGGTTTAGCCTACAGTAGGTCTGAATCGGAGAAGCAACGTGAGAGCTAGGCCAAGGAGATGAGGTTCCTTGATGGAAGCACTACGCGTGCGTATCACTTAGCAGTTTCCATGGAAGTTTGGACTACAATTGACAAGTGCATAATCTGTCTCTTATACACATCTAGATGTGTATAAGAGATAGATTTTTCAGTGGGATTGAGCACTGTTTCACAAAAAATTGAGATATTTTATATATATATATATATATATATATATATATATGTATATAAATCAAAATAGGATGTAAGAAAAATCTAAACCGTCTTTAGAAATTCTATATAAATATATAAATAATAACAGTGGTCAGATGGGAACATAGGATGAAATGATCATACCAAAAGTGGAGGGGTCACCTAAAACTCCAAGTGGCGTTAAGGGGAGAAGCAGGTTGGATCGCAGCTTTGTTATTATAGGACGATGCAGAGGTCCGATAGAGTATTGGTTAAAATGTTGAGATTTAATATTCGCTTTAAATTTATTACAAAAAAATTTTATTTTCTGAATTTGTATACCTATACCTCATGAAGGTATGAATGTCATAAAGTTTCCAAAAAATGTTTTTAATCTAATGAGATTTATACTTAATTAGGCCTAATTTAACACAGATGCCAAAATAAAAATAGTTTGAATGTATTTCTCACTAGTTCAATCTCTTTAATTTCAGTGTCTCAGGTCAAATCTACCGATCCATCAATAAGTGGGAAGTCGATGTACAATTATTGTCAGCGGAACACGATGTATATTAAATTGCCGGAACACATGATGCCTGATTTATGAGGTCTTAATTCTACAAATAATTGTGCGCGAATATTTATTATGATTTATATATTCACTGGATCGCCGGAATTGAATCATATTTGCCAATTATGTTTCTTATACAACATATAAGTAATTCTTGAACGATATTACATACTTAAATATAATTAGGCCAAGCATTATTGTATTATTTAAAACTAGAATCTTTATATTCTATTTATATTGTTTATATAGTTCTGATAACATTTCCGAGTAAGAAATAAAAGTAAACTGTAGTGTAATTTATAATACATCATTGTGTGTACTTCCTTTGTCGTAATTGCAATAATAATATTATATATTTCATGATTATTAATCAGTATATAATCGAATTGAATATATTATAATCACCTCGAATTCGAATATAGCACTATTACAGGCTACTATATCTTATAAACATTCTTTCACATGATACCAACAAATTTCGAAACTTTTCAGAGCAAGGTACTGTCGAATTTTACAAAACAGGAAATGACGTCGGTTGCTAGGCTACAGCTCATGCATATTCAGTAACACCTGTGCTCATTAGACTAACAATAAAAACTTTTAGCTCAGTTTTGACAAAATCGACCAAAAAGATTTTATTGTTAGTCTAATTAGAACAGGTGTCACTGAATATTCATGATTATGCATGAGATTGTTGCTTAGCAACCACGTCATTTCCGGTTTTATGTTTTTGTTTAGGGCGTCCTCAAAAGAATTGCTAGTTAAATAATTAAAGTAGCACATAATATGGATGAAGCAATTCTTCACTTTTGGTTTAAGCTTATAATAAGGATATTTTAGCTATTGCATTTATTACAGTAAACACATATATTAAATAAGATGAGAAGAGAGATGCAAATTCCATTTCATATTTATTTTCAAACATTGAAATCAAGTTGGGATATATGTATACATTTTATATTTATATACTGTAGGTCTATATCATGTACATCCGGCAAAAACCAATAGACCTGATTTTAATCCTAAAAATGTTATATCTTATTACCTTACATGTCTATATTCTTTACAACAAACGGGTTACTTTATTAATAAGATAAACATTAGCGGTAATAATACAATATTAATAAATATACAGCCTACAAGAATTAATACATATTGCTAACATTATTTTTGAGATTTTTACAGAGGAAAACATTAAAAAAAATCACACTATATTTTAATTAATTTCATATCCAGAAGCTTGATGAGTGACAATTTGTGGGTATCTATGAATAATTGGTAAGTTCTGTTGCCCTTTCAGTCCAGATATTCTTTCCTGATAGTTGTGGCTTCTTTGTCTACATCACTGGAATAGAAAAATATTGAGAACAGATTAGAACAGAGAAGAATTATAATGGAGTATCATCAAAACATAATATATAATTAAAAACAGTGGCATATCCATGAGTTTGAAATAGAGGGGGCCCACGGGGAGGGCCAAATGAAGGGTTCTTACTACCTCAGCCCCACCATGGTTGGGGCAGAGGTAAGAAACTTTTCGTTTATGGCAGATGGCCAAAAATGGCACTCACAGATTTTTAATTTGAATGTAATTTTCTTTTTTTTCTCCAATTTGTTATCATTTAAAAAAAAAGGCCGGCTGCCCCCCCCCCGCCCTCCCACCCTAAATCCGCCACTGAGAAATTAGTGAGCACCCCAACCTTAACATTATCGTATTCAGTTATCGCAATGGACAATGCTTTTGATACAACATAACAGTACTCCACAATTCTTTGCATATCAGCATTATCATATTAAATATTAATTATTTATAGTATCATCATATTACGGAATGATGTGAGGATTATTAAATACATGGTATTGGGTAGGACTAGTAGATAGCAATAGTGCAAACAAATTATGTTAGCATTCTGATTGTCATGGGTAAATAAAATTTATAAAAAGCGTACTATTCGAACGAAATGAATATATAGATTCATAAATACAGTATGTTCAAACAATAAATATAATACTATAACTATATCTTCATATACAAACATTTTTTATGATATAATATTTTTGGAGTGATTGATTGAATTTATTCGATGCTTAACATGCACAAGCAAGATAACAAATGGATTGAGATCATGAAAAGTAAAAATTACCGAGCATCAGGAACGACTATTAGGCCGGAGTCCAGCCCATTTCCAATGAGGGAGGTCTAATTATTTAAATATAGGTCTACATTTGTCTGTCATGAGCTGAAAGATAAACAATGTATTTCACATTTTCACTTTTTTTTGGAGGGGCGCCATGAGCGTTTCTGTTAAACGGATACCGGCGCTTTATTTAATTATTAATACTATCATTCTTATTATTATTATTATTATTATTATTATTATTATTATTATTATTATTATCATTAGGCCTATTATCATTAGGCCTATTATTATTATTATTATTATTATTATCATAGGCCAATATAAAATGCTCAACTGTTCTGTATATTATTTCTAAATTATTCAAAAATTATTTAATAAATGGAGGGAAAGAATGAAAAAACCGGCCATCTAGAGCATTGACCACAGAGGAGACATAATCATAAATCCATATGTGAAAGTCCCCGTAACATAATCATAAATCCATACGTGAAAGCCCCCCCCACCCGGATCCCTTCTATTTAGAATTTCTGGATCCGTCACTACAGTAGTAGCTTTAATTGATATCGACGTCATGGAAGTACACATCCATGAAGATATTAATATCAGTATTGATAAAGACGGTGTCATTTTTGGGCCTACCTCGATCAATTTCGCTCTCTTTTAAAAATAATATAGAAAATATTTTTGTCGGGCTATAACAAATTTTGATTATTCAAGGTTAAAAGTTGTGCAAAGATAATTATAGACTCTTGGTAATAAATTGCATATAATGTCAATAAAAAAAAGAAGATACGAATCTAAAATGTAAACGACGAAGTTAAAAATCCCAAACTGTAATTACTGTAAATAACGTTTCTTTAGCCAGTTTCTTTGATGGTTTTAGCGAGTCACTTGGAATGTACGTTGTGGAATAGAATGCAGTCAGTGTATGCTTCTGTCGAGGAAATTGCCAATGCCTTTAACGCGGCTGCCTAACAAACTTAGCCAAAATAATAACCATATAATGATGACAAAATTCCCATTTAACTAGTGAATTAACGATGCAAAATGTTCAATACTGTACTTACATTTGTTATTACTTGTAAAGTCTCCTTCGTAGTCCATTGACTCTTGTTTACATGTAGAACGCCACCTGGAGTGGTATAAAAACAATCAATGAATTCTTTTTTTAATGCGCCATTCCTTTATGACGATGAATATGATGATGATAATACAGTAATAATAATAATAATAATAACAATAATAATAATAATAATAATAATAATAATAATAATAATAATAATAGTAGTGGCTTGTTCTTCCTTAAGTGAAAGATGTGTATAAGAGACAGATAATAATAGTCCATTGAGTAATGTTATGTAGAACGCCACCTGGAGTGGTATAAAAAACAATTAATGAATTCTTTTTCTAATGCGCCATTCCTTTATGACGATGAGGATGATGATGATGATGATGATGATAATAATAATGATAATAATAATAATAATAATAATAATAATAATAATGACGACGACGATGATGATGATGATGATGATGGTGATGATTATGATGATGATGATGATGATGATGATGATGATGACGACGATGATGATGATGATGATGGTGGTGGTGGTTATGATGATATTGATGAGGTTGATGGCGATAATGATGTTGATGATGGTTGCTGATTATGATGGTGATGGCGATGATGATAATGACGGTGATGATGATGAAGTCGATAATTATTATTATGTTGATGATTGTAGGATAAGAATCGACTCCGATGGAATCAGTATATGGGCTTTCATGCGACACGAAGGTATTAATGGTCAAGCCGATCCTAATTACTTGCAATCAAAATTTATCACCCTTTTAAAGTGAAGGACATTCATTTTTGTAAAGCATGTATGTGCTATTTCCCGGCAGAGGAGCCATTTTTTCAACCATGGTGTTGTGTCCGCCTCTTAAGGAGATCGGGTAGTGGCTATACTTGGTTACCAGCGCAGATCCTGGGGAGACGGGGGAACACGTCTCCCACATATTTTAAGGGGGTTTTGGGACACTCACTTTTCGACCGCAACGTAATTTCATAAGTAAAGAAGATGCCTGAAAGTTGTTGAATTGAACTGCATAATTAATGACCCAGGTTTTAACGAAACAGCGCTGTACAGCCAAAGTAGAGTACTATACATCTTCTTATAGCAAGATTCCGATATCTCTGCCCACTAACATCTGAAATATCTGTAATACACGACTCGAGTGCACGTGCCTTTATTATAATTTGAATAAGTATGAGAATGAGAAAAAGTATAAGATTGATTTTCGGCACACGAAGTAGGTAATTTAAAGTAAATACATCAAAGACAATTAAGTTTTATTTTCTATGGTACAATACAGAAGTTAATTAGATCTCTATTATTGCCGAAAATTGCAGATAAAAGATCATGGTGGTGTGATGATGATTACTATGGAGGCCTAACAATGTCATTCCGGACATCTTGAGGTGTAATATTCCTCAACCATGATGGGGCTGAGGTGGGTGTGGACTTACGGCTTTGAAGTAAGTAAAGTAAAGTAAATACATAAAAAAGACAATGTTTTCAGTCTTATTTTCTGTGGTACATCACGCATATTAATTAGATCTCTATGGTTGCGGAAAATCGATGATAAAAGATAATGAGAAATTGGCGCTTCGTTTTTACTATAATGGTGATGTGACGAATGTTACTATAAAAGTAACATTTCCGGCCATGGGAGGTACTATTTCCCACAATTTTTGCACCTCAGCTCCAACCATGGTGGGGTAGAGAAGGGTGTGGACTCATCTTATCTTTGAAGTGATAAAGTAAAATACGGTACATCAAAGACAATGTTTTTAATTCTTATTTTCTATGGTCTCATCACACATACTAATGACTCTATGGTTGCCGAAAATCGATAATAAAAGTTCATGAGAAATTTGCTGGCGCTTCATTTTGATTATAATGGTGATGTGATGATGAATTTTACTAAAGAGTGTCATTTTCTGCCATCTAGAGGTACTATTTCCTCAATATCCGCACCTCAGCCCAACCATGGTGGGGTGAGGTGGGTATGGACTCTCCCCATACCGCTCTTATAATGGCCGGACCACTTGCAAATTGGTTCCGACGGCTATGCAGATCAGTATGGGAATATTGCTGTACTGTTTGTGAGACTTGTTTGTTCATCCCTCTAATCAACCCAAAGGAGGGCATTGGGCATCGTGTCACCTGGTATTCCTTATGACAGCCCTCAACCTGCACACTATTACAACACTCGCTGATCGTCATCCTCATTCTGTAATAACTTCAGAATATAAAATCACCTTCTCATAGATTTGTTTTTACCGTCAGCTCCACAAAAGAATCACAATCATAGAAACAATCGTGAGTTTGTTCTTCCTTAAGTGAACACTGAACGTTTTACGTACTATGCAGTGAGTACTTCAAAGATAAAGGCCTGTATTGTTAAACTATTGCAAACTATGTGCAGATGAAGAGTAACATATGCTAAATAAATGCACCAGGTTAAGACACGATTGGGTTTTGATCGACAAATTGTGCCTAAAGCTTGATAGCATGAACATTTTACTTTCAAAAGTCTTGTATTAGGTAAACGAAACGTGTTGATGGATGAGCTCTCTATAGCCTAGCAGCATTTGTCATTTATAAAACTTTACTTTGTCCGAAAATGTAGAAAGCCAATATCCAATTTTCATGAAGGTATTAGAGTATAGAAATTCATTGAAAGAATATGTAAACTTATGTGGATTTAAATGATATGTGTGGTTAATGATACTGTATGTGAACAGTATAGTTGATATGTAATAACGGCCTTTGGTTTTGATAGAGAAAAAAATTTATCGTTAAACTTCAATCACTTGGCATGATTGCAATAAAGTAAGGTTGAATTATCACTAGCGATTTAATCACTGTACTATCAAAAGTGACAATCCCTTCAATGACAAACATACAAATCGTCGCTCACATCACGAACTAACACAATTAAATTCAATTGTGTTAGTTCGTGAAATCAAAAAAGCGCGTCAAAATACGCGCTGTTGTTGTTAAAGACTTTTTGTGTGGTAAAGAATACAAAATTGCTTGACAACCAATACGCGCTCGTTTTGACGCGCTACTGTGATTTCACGAACTAACACAACCTACTTTGATTGTGTTAGTTCGTGATGTGAGCGACGAAATGACGATTTAATAGTCTCATAACGAGTCTTATGGAGTCGAGCTCTTTTGTCGTGAGAAAATTTGAATGCGGAGTTATGTATATTGATTCCGATTGTTAGGTTTATGTTCAGAGATTTTGTTAGCGAACCCTCCAACCAACAAAAAGGATGATTAAAAAAAAAATAAAATAAAATGTTACTATTTTGGCCAGTTAGCACAACCTCCACCACGAAAAATGGAAATTTCATTAAAAAAAAATTATTTATTTTGATTACGCCCTCGGCTCCCATGAAATCTTCAAAAATAGGATATAGGTCCTATAGGTCATTACCTCCTTGCATTATATAAATTGAAAGCATTTAATCCATCTGCACTCTGCTTTATTCATTAATACAATTTTATTCTTATTTTCTCCTCCACCTAGATGAGTTTAGCAAAACCATTTGCTAAATAAGAAAACAACATTTTATAATTATTTTTTCCACCCTCCTCGGAGGATCTTTAAAATAAGTTCGCGAAACAATTAAAGTATAAATATATTCTCACCTGAAGTATAATTATAAGATTCCGATTGTTAGGCATAGTGTAGTTAAGTTAAGATGCTATTAAATTGCAAATTGTTAGTGATCGCTTATGCAGTTAAGATGTATAGTCCCAATGTTAGGCTTATATATAGTTATAATATAATATTAGTTAGGATTATAAATGTAATTAAATTGAAAGACCTTCTATCTCTATTTTTGAAAATTAAGATAATGTATGTTGTAAGTGGAATAGACTTATATATGTAGTTATAATGTAATATTAGATGTTAGGATTATAAATGTACCGTAATTAAAATGGAATTACCTATGACCTCTTTTAAAAATTAAGATAACGTTAACGTATGTTGTAAGTGGAATTCATGTAGTTAAAAATTTTGTTTTTGTGAGACCGTATGTGCTTTCTAATATATTTACATTAATTTTTATACTGAAGTACATTTGCATTAAGGGATGGAAATTTCATAATTGTAGGCCTACTTTGTATTTTTATGACAATAAAGTTATCTGTATTTGTTAGGCATAAGTGTATATAAAATTACATTGTATAACTAAAGATGTATAATTATGATTCCGATTGTTATGCTTATTTTGTGATTTCAAGATGTACTGTGTTTCTTTTAGATGTAAATGTATTGTCATTTTATTAATTATTACCTTTGAATACACGTTCTTTTTTTTTCTTGATATTCCTTTCTTTCTGTCGGGAAACGATGTTAAATTATTACCTTTGAATACACGTTCTTTTTTTTTCTTGATATTCCTTTCTTTTTGTCGGGAAACGATGTTAAATATAATTACATTTTTATATATAAAATTGTTGATTTTTATTGGAAATTCATTTATATTAATTCTAATAAAGCTATTACTGATAAAAACACACAAGTTTTGGCGGGGACCTAACAACACAAAACACCGTTTCAAGAGATCTGGAAACTGTTCAAACTAAACAGCATCCTGACAGCCCATTCTCACACACTGGAAACCCCGATTATTTAAATAGAATAGTCCAGTCTATAGCTAGTGACCTGCACCCGATAATAGACTTTCACTCTTTCAACTTTTATTCGGACCTCACATTTAAAACTGAATATAATATTTATTTTTTTTTTATTTACTAATATCTTTAGCCAGGATGACACAATCATTTTAAAGAAATGTTTTTCATTGTGGTCCTGGGAAAAAAAAAAAAAAAAAAATATTATTAATAATGATAATAACAATCATCATAACAATAATAATAAACAACAACAAAAAAATAATAATGTAAACGAATAATACAATGTAAACGAACAATATAAAAGTGACTTAAGAGCTACGTGAAAGAAAAAGACTTGTTACATCGCATATCAAGATAATAGATTATATATGGGAGTAGAGCTTTTTATTTTCCCAAAAAGATTTTCCAGAGAAAATTACGCCACGGCTTTATCTGTTTGGTTGGTGCGTTCATGCATACGAAAACAGTATCAACCAGACTTGACCAAGGAGGAAAGAAAGGGCTTGACCTTGTGTAGTACCAGTATTGCGATATACAGTATAAGTATTATTTGCTGGAAATTGTGTAGTTTCAGTACTGTACTGTAATTACAGGCCTAGTTATCGATTATTATTTAGAATAGACACCAACGACAAGGCGTTAAGGTACTCAGAATTGTCACGACGTTTCATAGTCTTCAAAGGTAAGATTAATATTAGCTAACTTTAAGATTAAAGTTAAGGAATATCTTAAGAAATAATAGAGGATTGCAAAGTGAATTGCTTCTTTTGTAAATTGATTTTTCTTTTGTTCTTTGATTGTTACCTACTCGCTTGTTTTGTCCTTAGTTCCTTTTTAATTGACTTTTACCTGTTCAGGACCCCATTAGAAATCCTTGAATCTGATTTGGTTGTTCCTTCTGTTTTATAGTGTTAGACTTTTGTACCCAAAATTGATACTTTTGCATAAAAAGGCCATAAATTTAGCTCTTTATGAAAGAATTTCGCTTGGGTCATAGAGAAATTGGATCCAACAGTTTCATAATCAGCAAGGTCAGAAGGATTAGGTTTGCAAGAGCTCAAAGCAAATCAACATTAGAATATAAGTATGGTTCACGTCGAACTTTTATCTAGATATATATCCACTTAACTAGTTAAAAGTTCGACGTGAACCACTCAATTATAGCTAGATAGAGTAATTAAGTCACTTTAAGTTAAGTGACTTAACTTTACTAGAATAACGGTAAATTAACTTGCTTAACGGTAAAGTCGGCTCGGATTACAAGGACACGATTACGTAACATAGGCATCTAAGCCAGCGTTGTTGTATTGTACCACCATCTGTCTCTTATACACATCTTTTTTGATTGCGTACTTTAACAATGCTAACAACAGCATCGAAGTAGTCTCATTAGTCTGGTTTTCAGAAATTATTTGTAATACTATGGGTAAAAACCCAGCAAACGTCCGTTTTACGAATAGTCGATATTACCAATGAATTTTGCCCTTTGCATCATCGACCAAATAATAACGTTAAAAAGTCCGATTGCGTACGTTTTTCAAAGTGATAATGTATATTTTTCTTAATAATAAAATCAGATTTGTTGTATTTATTTATTGGCAATTCAATCTTTTCCATTTCTGCTATAATAGTCGCTATTAATTCAATTTCAACGAACTACCACCAACGTCAGTCGTTAAAATGAGCGCACATGTTTACGATGACGAAATAAAGTGTGTGGAAGTCAGCAACTTATTTGACACCGCGAAGCTAGATTTTCGCGAAGTGCATGTAAACAACACAATTGAGCGATCTAAAAACTACAAAACAGGACAGAAAGGCCCATTAAGTATACATACGTTTTAATGAAAATTAAAACAATATTTTGTTAAATGGAAGAATGCTAGCTAGCGATTAATAATTCGTTTTTTATCGAAGGTAAATGTAGCTAGGGCCTAGAGAATCTACGACTTAGATTGCGATAGAACACGCTGCTGCACTATCGTTGGTTCGTACTGAAACTCGCACCTTCTTTATAGTAGTTTACAAATTTTTTTTTAACGAATACCACTTGGTACTAGAGGTTCGTAAAATACAGTACATAGATGTTTTATTAAACAAGCCTATCCACCGTGTGACGTCGACGGCCTGAAACTGGCTGGCTGTTTATCTGGCTATAACTTGGCATCGAACGCAATTAGGGGATTATCGTATCATGTTTCAAGACGGGTATATCCAGATAAAGTTCGACGTGAACCAGGCTATAATGTATAAAGGAACCCCAAATTTTGAACAATATTTGCTAGATAAAAATGATTTTATGAGTATTAATTTAAAGTTTAAGGCAAGATCAAATTCTTTAGATCTTGAGGGTCGTAAACAATCCTAACCTGGTCAAAAAATAACACAGGTCTATGTAAGATTTGTACTACTAACGAAAATCAGTAAACCACATTTTTGTTTAATTATACTTCACTAAACTCTGTCAGAAATGATGTATATACTTAAATCTTAAGAACAGCCTCATAGAAAATAAGTTAAATACATATTGGGATATGTTTAATTGTGGATCACAAGAATTAAAACGCCACTCTATTCTTGATAATTTATTCACTGAGGATGAAACATTAGGAGTTAATTGTAAACAATATTTAATTAAAGCATGGACAACTAGATCTACAGTAATATCAGCATTACCTCTCTCAAAATTTAATTAATTAATGACAAACAAAGTATATGATGTAATGTAATTATTACTTTTATTATTATTTATGTACTAGACAGCTTAATTAACTTCATACAATTATTGTTTTGATGTAAGTATGTGTATGTATGTACGAATATGTGTACATGTGTATGTATATGTGTATATGTATATATATATTTATATATGTATGTATGTATATATACATGTTTTACTCACACATAACAATTGAGTCAGGCAAATGTGTAAGCTTTTGTATACGTTGTATTTATTCAGGTTGTAATAAACAGAAAAAGGAACTTGTTACACGAAAGTTTACTTAAAGTGTGTACTTGATTAACGCATTAATGCTATTTCCCTTATCATCAATTAAATTCATACTTTATGTACTATCACTTGTTGCATCACATAGTTAGTCTAGGTGTTAAAATTATAATAATGGCAAGCACAATATTGTTCAGGAATATGAATCCGGTCTATGGTAAATCAAGTTAAAATCATATAGTTACAAAACAGATTGTGGTAAACATATGCTGTAGTGTATAAATTCCCACTATCAGTATTGTGCCAGTTTCTCTAAAGTAGGAGAGTTGTCATGGCAACAGTCCCCAAGGTCCATCCTGGGTTTTACTTGCCCTAAATCTATTTAACAGATGCTTCTACTGCACAGAGTGTATAGGTAGGAATACACAGACAATGCATTTATTACTTAAAATACTTGTTAGCCTCTTTACATTTACTATCAAATTAATCAGTAGAATCAAACTACTTTAAACACCTTTACTAATAATCAAATGTATAAAGTCTATAAAAATAATTCCTTATTTACTATATAGAGAAAATGGTTTAATATAAACCTAGATAATTTATCTTATTTCTCCCTAAAATATATTACGGTATCTCGACTACAGCATTCATATCAGTCCACACAGCTGACATATTATCACTTGATAAACTAATGAGACTAATGAGATACTTGTCTCATGTTTCTAAAACTAACTTAATACAAAAGTAAAACACATACCTGTAATAAACAGAAAAAGGAACTTGTCACACGAAAGTTTACTTAAAGTGTGGCCTAGCTCCCACCTAACATCACCTTCAGGGTTACCTTACAGGCATCATCTATTTTTTTAAATAGGGGTGTGTTTTCTATGAGGGCTACACTCACCCCCAAGTTCTTAGATGTCGTCCCGACATGGCAAATTTATCTTAAAGCCATATAACATCCAAAAGTTGCATACATAAGAAAAACAAAATCGGAAACAAAAGTAAGTTATAAAATTTTCTTTAAAAAAAATTATTGAAAAGACATTTGTAAAGGCAACAACCTTCTGTCCTACATGACAGTTTCCGTCTGCCGAAGAACAGTTAGTTTAACAATATAAAATTAAACCTGCGATCATCAAGATCAATAATCCAAATGTTCATAACTTGCATGGTACTCATGCTATTAAAAAAATAATTATTAATTGGAAAAGTATCCAAAGTTCGCAAAAGAAAAAAATACAATCAACAGTTCCGGGTGTCTGGTTCATCGCCTGTAAAAGACGCATTTGATCAGCAAACATCGCAAACAATAATTGGTTGTACTGCTGCACTGTTCAAATTGTGGTACATAAACGGGTGGTACATTGACTGCATGAAACTGAACACCTTGCACACTTGGGTGCCCAAGCTGGTCGTATGTAAAGACAGCTGGAGGTTGTCGTGTGCGTGTTGGGTATCTAGGGCCCGATAGTTGTGGAACTTCCCCAGTAGTGTGTGGAGGTGTTTTTGGAGAGACGGGACCATCCTGTTGATGTACAGCATTATCTCGAGAGGTAGATGCAATAGATGTAGGTTGCTCGGGAACACTTACATCACTGCCAGCATGTTCAACATAATCATCTTGCACATGATCAGCAGGAGGAGATACATAGGGATCTGCATTTGGATTAAGTACATGTTGGTGTAACAGAGATGGTTCCTCAGACCGACTTGTAGGAAAATCAACCTCGTCTGATGAATCTGTAACATCTTCACAATCAACATTGGAATTCTCCTTGCTCGCACGTGTTGCACGGTGTTTCACTTGTGGCTTCTTCTGTACAGGTGCACTATCCTTTTGTATAAAATCACATGGAAATAGATGATTACGATGGAGAACACGAGTTCTTCCACCTCCTGATTCAGGTTTAACCTCATAAACTGGAGAATCATCACCTTTCCTCTCAACCACTATGTACACTCTGTCTCTTATACACATCTAGATGTGTATAAGAGACAGGATGTAAGTATGTGTATGTATGTACGAATATGTGTACATGTGTATGTATATGTGTATATGTATATATATATTTATATATGTATGTATGTATATATACATGTTTTACTCACACATACCTTCTGCCGGAGGTCCATAGCTGTCTCTTATACACATCTAGATGTGTATATTTGGGCTGTTTTCAGAGCTTGCTTGTCAACTTTTGGCATGGCTTGTGAAATTTCCGCTACTCTGGGATCAACCCATGCTGTGCCGTCCAGTTGAATACCAGCTACTGCTGCTTGAATGACATCTTGACGGACTTCTTCAGTACATGTCTTCATATATTCATCCATCTGCAGTGGCATTCTAGACAATGCATCAGCGTCTCCATTGGCTTTCCCTGGTCGGTACTTTATAGTGAAGTTAAAGTCCGCTAATTCACTAACCCATCGATGACCAGTAGCATTTAATCTGGCTGATGATAACACATAAGTGAGTGGATTGTTATCCGTAAAGACAACGAATGACTTTGCATGGTACAGGTAGTCACGGAACTTATCTGTGATCGCCCACTTCAATGCAAGGAACTCCACTTTTCCGGAATGTAGGTGATAGTTCTTTTCCGCTGGTGTCAGTGACCGTGAGCCATATGCGATCACCCGAAGCTTATCATGCTGCTGTTGGTAGAGGACTGCTCCCAGGCCTTCCTGTGACGCATCAGTGTGAAGTATGTAAGATAAGTTGAAATCCGGGTAAGCCATAATTGGGGGTTGTACAAGGCGGTCTATGAGGATAACCAATTCATTAGAAGCCATCTGTCCATTCGTTTTGTTTCTTACTAATTTCCTTTTCTTCTGTTTCCATTTTGGAGCTTGATGTTTCGAATGTTTTGGAACAATGAGGAGTTCATATAATGGTTTGGCTAATCTTGCAAAGTTTTGTATGTATTGTCTGTAATATCCCATACACATCTAGATGTGTATAAGAGAAGAGTCCCAATAGTTTGCGTACATCACCTGCAGTCGCTGGTCGTTTGTCCTTAAGAGCCTGTATGGTTGCTGTGTCAGCAGGGTCAACTTGGTGCCCTTCCGATGATACCAGTCTTCCCAAGTAACGGACTTGTTTTTCGAACAGTTTGCACTTGCTAGGCTTGAGTTTTATCCCATGTTTCTGCAGTCGACGAAGTATGGTCCTTATATGTTCTACATGTTCTGCAAATGTTCTGCTATGTACTAGTATGTCATCCAGGTATATTTCACAAAAGTCTCCAGTCAGCCCTTCGAGAGAATTCTCCATGCAGCGTTGGAAAGCTGCTGGGGCGTTCATCAACCCAAAGGGGATGCGAACCCATTCGTACAAACCCCATGAGGTAACAAAGGCAGTGAACGGGCGACTAGCTTCGTGGATGAATCCCTGATGGTAAGCTTTACCTTGATCCAGAGTGGTAAACCATTTCTTGCCTCCCAAACTGTCAAGGACATCTTGTACTCTCGGAATTGGTTGTCTGTCTGGGATGGTCTTTTTGTTCAGTTCACGGTAGTCGATGCATAATCGGAGAAAACCGTCTTTCTTTCGGAAACAGACAACAGGTGATGAGAATGAAGATTTTAACTTTGTGATCCAACCCCTATCGATCAGATCTAAAAGGTAGGTCTTTACTTCTTGGTAGAGAGGTCGAGGCACTGACATATATGTCTTCTGAACAGGCTTGGTATCTCTTAAGTTTATAGACATCTGTAAGTCTGCAATGCATCCCATGTCTCGGTCATCTCTTGAGAATGCACTTGACTCCTCTCGCAACATCTGGCGTACTATGGTTGCCTGTTTAACGTCAAAACATGTCATATCTACGGGTGGTTCCCATTCTTCCTCTGACTCATTCTCTGTTGCTGACGAGACAGTTGCTTTGCATTTTACTCTACCTGGTAAAACGGATTGTACGACGTGCAATGTACCAAGTTTGGTACTTCTGTCCAAGCGAAGCGGGTGATTGGTTGGATTTGTTACATAGATGGTAATTCGATAGGACGATCCCTTTTCTAAGTGGATGAGGGCATCTGGCACTTCAAGACCATCTGGCCATGGTGTATGTATATTGGGTTCAAAGATAACTGGCAAGTTTTCTTCTTTACACCGGGAGTGCACCCTGCATAGTATTGCAATCATTTCGCCACCAGGAATAAGAACATCTTTTTTTCCAACTTTAACTGTACATAATTCGTCAGTGTCGTCTGCCGAAATGTAGTTGAGTAGGGTTTTGACTTTAGATGAACTCAGATTGGTGAAAATTGATTGAAGAGTTTGTATCTTGTCACCAGCAGGATGTTCTTTTACCCACTCTTCTATAATATTGTATCCAATGATAGGTTCACCCATGGTCACAGACGATATGAGCATTGGGACTTGGATTGACCAACCTTTACCATGTGGGCTACTGATGGCCAGTGTAGCTTCTACCCATCCATCAAATGGGATAGTGGTACCATTTGCTGCTTTCAGTTGGATATTGTCTATGAGAGTGGAGAGCGGTTGAATGGATGTGGCTGGTGCTTTCTGTTGAATCCAGTCTTTAGGTAGAATTGATACTTGAGCTCCAGTATCCCAGAGAGCCTTAGTTGGAACCCCGTTTATCCTACACTCCACCATGCATTTCCGTCCCACCAACCGACTCACTCGGTCGTGTCTCTTAGATAGTGGTAATGGAGACTGTTGTTTCAGTTGGGTTACTGATTGTCCCTGGTCAGCAACCCTCTGTCGTTTCCCGACTTGGATGGTGTCTGTGGGCAATGGAATTGGTAATGACCACTACCGCCGCATTTGAAGCAGTGTCGACAAACATCAGTATTTCCTGTTTCCACACATCTCTTGCAGCTTCTTCTTCGGTGGTTTTTCCGCTGCTGGTATTGTCTTGGCTGTGCTGCTCCCATCTGGAGAACTCTAAGTTGGGCTACTTCTTCACGCAACAACTTAATGTCATCGGCCAATGGATTACGTTTTGGTGAGGCCACAGATTGTTTAGGAGCTGCCTGGTTTTCAACAACGTTGACTTGTGGCCTTCGAGTTTCTCCTCGTTTAAGGAGGATCTCCTGCTCGTGCGTGACTGCGGTGTTGAGGTGCTCAAGAATTTCCTCATCAGATATTGGTGTTTTAGTTAAGAATGGCATGAGATCCGCCTGTATTCGTTCGCTTCGCGGGCCTGTCAAAATTGAATGCAGGAACATCTTTTGGACGAGGTTGGTGTCGTACCCCATTCCAGCATTATCCTCCTGGGAGGCAAAGATGACCTTCTGACGGAGGTCCATAGCCCTGAAGATAAATTGCTGTGGCGTCTCTTACGGCACTTGGGCCAATCTTGACAGTTGATGGTACAAATCTGTAGACTTCTTCTCTTGGAAGTGGCTGCCTAAAATCTTCCGAAGTTGTGGTAGGGTTAAATCTGCTCTGCCCTCCAAATACGCACGCAATTTAAGACTGGGTACTATTGACTTGATCACTCCGCCTATTACCTCTTCTTCCTTATATCCCTTTTTCAGGGCCTGCTCAATCTAACGATAACTTATCCTTTTGGCCTGGTTCCCCAACTTGCCCAGATACCTTAAACTCCCGCAGAACCCTCTCTATCTTTGCTTTTGGCGGGTCCACTTGTGCATTAGACAGCTGGCCTTGCGTTGTGTCTGCAGTTACTTTTGTTGTGAGTTTGGCTAACTCGTCATTTAGACTTAACAGTTCACTCATCCCTTCATCCTCCAGGTCCTCCACCTCCGGTCTATCGAGGTGGCGATGAATGTGTCTTATCAAGGATCTTTTGGTCTTCTGCTCGACGCCTTCCCCTATACCCAGCAAGCCGCACACTTTCACCAACTCTGTCTGTGAGAGCTGTGCCAGTCTGGTACGCACTTCTTTATCGGTATCTTCCAGCGCCTGCATCTTTCCAGTTACAGTATTCCCTTGTGTCGATTGAGGATTTCGTGCTTAACTGCAGTATCAACACTTCATTGGTTCCGTCTTCCTGTCTTCAGAGAAGAACCAAGTCCTGGCAGGATCGCCAATTTTACTCACACATAACAATTGAGTCAGGCAAATGTGTAAGCTTTTGTATACGTTGTATTTATTCAGGCTGTAATAAACAGAAAAAGGAACTTGTCACACGAAAGTTTACTTAAAGTGTGTACTTGATTAACGTATAAATTCCCACTATCAGTATTGTGCCAGTTTCTCTAAAGTAGGAGAGTTGTCATGGCAACAGTCCCCAAGGTCCATCCTGGGTTTTACTTGCCCTAAATCTATTTAACAGATGCTTCTACTGCACAGAGTGTATAGGTAGGAATACACAGACAATGCATGTATTACTTAAAATACTTGTTAGCCTCTTTACATTTACTATCAAATTAATCAGTAGAATCAAACTACTTTAAACACCTTTACTAATAAGCAAATGTATAAAGTCTATAAAAATAATTCCTTATTTACTATATAGAGAAAATGGTTTAATATAAACCTAGATAATTTATCTTATTTCTCCCTAAAATATATTACGGTATCTCAACTACAGCATTCATATCAGTCCACACAGCTGACATATCATCACTTGATAAACTAATGAGACTAATGAGATACTTGTCTCATGTTTCTAAAACTAACTTAATACAAAAGTAAAACACATACCTGTAATAAACAGAAAAAGGAACTTGTCACACGAAAGTTTACTTAAAGTGTGGCCTAGCTCCCACCTAACATCACCTTCAGGGATACCTTACAGGCATCATCTATTTTTTTTAATAGGGGTGTGTTTTCTATGAGGGCTACACATGTATATTTGATAAGCTCTATATATCTAGGTGTATCATTTGTATTTTTGTTACCAGCCTAGAAATTAGCCACCCCTACAAAAAAATTGATTCTACCAGAATAGAACCTGTGAAAAGTCACATGACCAGACTTTTGGGTTTGGCCTCTAGTATCATATTCACCACCATTAAAAGTATCTGATACTAAGATGCCCACATCTGATTGAGGTCTGTGTAATTCTTTCACAGGTAAGTACTTGTTATAACTTTGTTTTGAACTTTTCTTTAATTAAATACATTGATTGATATTTTGTATTAAATAAACATTTACAGTATATAGATTTTAAATCCACTTAGAGAAGTGAATATGATGAACCATGGAGTTATAACTCCATGGAGGAAGTGAGATAATAATAAGATTATCTATTGTTAGTTAGTAGATTATTACTTAAATCAATAGTATAGTTTTAAACTTATTAGATTATTATATTATGATTCATTCTAAGATGAGACTGTGAAACTATTTATATGTAACACTAATACATTTATTTAATAGTTATAAATCTGAATTAAAAGCCCTAGATATTAGAATAGACCTTTAGAATATTTCAGCATAGGCTAATGACCTTGTTACAAACTAGTTTGGTATGCAAGGGCTATGCTGCTGGAAACAGACTGTTGCTATGGCAACGAAGGATAAGGTGAATCTTAAAGTAGGGCTGAGGTTTTAGTAATGTAAACACCTGTTGAAAACTATAAATAATTTGGTACTATTAGAAAATACTTTGTTACTTTATTCTCTATTATAAAGTAGTGATTTTATTGGGGAACTTTTTATATCTACAATGAAAACGAATTAGTTAATTACATAAAGACTAAGATAATTGATAATAATTAGCTACTTTTAGTAATAGATATTTTGTGTAATGTTAACATTATTTTTAATTAAGTTCTCATTACTTGGGTAACAGGACAAGTATAAGAATTAATGTAATTTTTACCATAATTATTAATTTTGTTAGCTATTTTATCATTTCGCATTATGTTTTAATTATTATGTTGACCATTAAAAGAATCATTTCGCATTATGTTTTAATTATTATGTTGACCATTAAAAGAATCTGATACTAAGATGCCCACATCTAATTGAGGTCTGTGTAATTCTTTCACAGTCGTGATATCTCCCTGGAGCACCCGTCAAATTTTGTATTAGAATTTAGAACTTTTTCTCTTTTCCCTGTAGTTTAATATGTTATTTGTATTTTTTTTGTATTTTGTAAAGTGGATGCACCACTGAATGATGTGTGCCACCGTTATAAAGGTGATTCTATTGAATAAATAAAATAAATAGGTAGACTTCGGCCGCCGACAACATCGGCCGCCACCAATCAAGTGCCAAAAATATGGAGCGCCGTTAGCACTGTCTGTTTGCTTCCAACCAATGAGCGTTCGCTGTGTTCAGTGTTTTATGCCAATTATAATCATTGTGTTAATTGCTTTTAGCTTTCGAGTATTAAGTTCGTTTGAACCGACGTTCAGTCGACGAACACATAGGCTGTACTGTAGGCCCTCTTTATGTATGTAATAAAAGTAATGAAAAAGACTATGTTGTTTTTTTAAAACATTAATTGCGTCATATTTTTGTATCCTACTTTACGTTTATGATTGTGATATCAAGTTTAATATTGTCATTAACAGTAATTTTAGTTTGTTTAGGGTTGAGATTAAATTGTTTGCATGATGTACACAATTAAAATATGAACGAACAGATAGATAAATGAAGAACTATGCTCGAAACCTTGTATTATTTCGAATTAATTGGCAATATCGTGCTTTACGATATTTTTCTAGTTATTTATCTGTTCATACATTGCATATGCAGCTAACTCTCGGTTTATTTGGATATTTATAATGTAAACGAACAGAAGTACCGGTAAAATACAACAGGAAATATTCATTAAATGTAATTAATTGCGCTATATTCTTGTATCCTACTATCCCCTCTACTTATTATTATTATTATTATTATTATTATTATTATTATTATTATTATTATTATTATTATTATTATTATTATTATTATTATTATGTTAACATAATATTAAAACATAACACATTGTACATATTTGTGTATCTTACTTTAAGTATATGATAACATTATGTGATAATCAAGAACATCCCATAAACATATTAATGTTATTTTATAATTGTGATATTGATCAATAATCATTAACTGTAATTTTAGTTTTAGTTTTAGGGTTTTATTGTTGGTATAATGTACGGTACATTATTAAAATATGAACGAATTTTACTTTAATTAAGTGTATTTTAAATTTGGGCGTTGTTTTGATATACAGTACTGTAATTAAAAAAATAAACGAATCAGTAAAGACGGAATTACATAGGCCTACGTTTTATATTTTGGGGGTTTTTTTCCAACACAGTATAGCAGTACTATTTTTTTATATACATTTATAATTATAATTTTCAAATCAGTTATTTAAAAAAAAAATACATATATGTATACTGTACTGTATAATAATACAAGATACAAGATTCTAGATAAAATTTATTGTCTCCAGTACAAAACGAATGAAATAAGATAATACAAATAAAATACATATATAAGTATACTGTATAATGATACAAGATACTAGATAAAATTTATTGTCTCCAGTACAAAACGAATGAAATAAGATAATACAGATATGTAAACTATAATTATACAAGTACATACAAATGTTATGAAAAATACCTACAAATAAAAAACATTTATACGAATTAAATAAGAAGATAAAGACATCAAAAACATACAAATAAGATAAGTATATAATAATACACACGAATAAAGTAAGATAATAAAGACATCAAAACATCCAGCTGAATAAATACAATCATAAAACAGACGCCGAATAACAAGGCTCTCACACAATGCAACACACTACACGCGCAATGCAACACACTACACGAACTGCTAATTAAAATGCGAGTATGGCGTTCCAGAGAAATCGCCGGCGGCCGAAGTTGCCGGCGACCGAAGTAGTCGTATCCCGGTCAGAATACCCTAAATCAATGGATCCCAGCTTAGGCCTAAAAGTGCCCATTGATTCGTTACAGAGGAAATTTTTTGAGAAATGATACCTGTCTCAATGAAAATTTCCCAGAAAATCTAGATTTTTTCTCAGGGGTGGCGCCAGGATTTGCTCGAGGGGGAGGAGGAACCCGAGGTCCCCGACCGGGGGGGCGATTCCCCCGACGAGGGGTCAGATTTCCATGACGAAAGCAATGTGGGTGTAGTCGAGCTTCGATTAAAAGTTTCCGAAAGTGGTCCAGGGGGCGAAGCCCCCGAAAATTTTAACAATTTAAGGTTTCGAAGGCTTATTTAATCGATTTTAGAGTCTATACTAATATGTAGAAAATACATATATTTTTTTTTTCTCCCAGACAAATTGTGCTTTTTCTCCCCGACGGGGGGGGGGGGGGGGATCTCCCCCCCCACTGGCGCCACCCCTGTTTTTTTTCTTCTGAATTAAAAACAGAAAATATTTGTAAAATTTACTTTACAAATATGAGATGATTGTTTTGTATATTTACGAAATTAAGTTGTATTATGCCTTTTTATATTGTTATTATTAATATAAAAAAAACAAAGGCAACGAATTAAAACACTTTCATGTTGGTATAGTTCGTTGCATTCACATCTCTTTTATAATTATTTCGTGTATTCATGCAAAGGGGCACAGTTAACTTGAATTCTTTGAGAATTCACCTTTTTTTAAAAAAAAGAACCAGTAACATTTTTCCTGGGCTCAGTGTTCTTATTTTTAGTTCCTATGCATGTAATGCAATAGGAACTATTGTAATCACTCTGTCACATTTCTTTTGTTTTTTATTGTGTGCAGTATGTGTGTGGACATTTATGCAAATGCGCATGCGTCAAAGAAAAGTTTTCCGACATTTTGTTTTACATCGCGATGCGAAGTTCGATGTGGATTTTCTGCAGAGTTCAGTCAGGGCTCTCGCTAACCGATCGGCAAGTCGGCATGCTTGAAACTATTTTGGTTTTACGGCAAAAAAATCAACTGCTGTGGCATAGGTATTTTGAAGAAGGCCTAAAATAAAACAAAAATGTTTTAATACTTGCTGAAATGCATCGTTTTTTCATTTAGATCTCCATTTTTCACTAACTCCATGCGACTTTTTTTTCCTGTTAGTATGAGTAGTCCATAGTGCTATTAAACAACTAGAGTGTTGACAAGATGGCGCAGCAATACAGAGTTATGTATGTGTACCATCCAAGATGGCCGTCGTAGTAAAGCGCCACCTTCAGGCTTTGTATACATATTATTACATATTAATAAGCACTCTGACTGACTATTATTTCATTAATGATAATGAGTAATGGTAATAACAAATTATTAAACTATTGTAGCCAAAACGAGGCCAAGTGGAGCATCTTATTCAAAAATTAAGTACCATGGAATGAAAATTAAAATCGTGTACATTACACCCAAACACCGCAACGCTCGAGTTTCAAACATACGGGTAGCTAGCTGTACTGAACCCTCTGAGTAAATTGAGGGCGGAATTGCAAACGATGGTGCTTAGCGAAATTTGATTGGCTAAATCTATGGCAGCCATCTTGGATGGTACCCACACAGTTTTGCGTATTTCGAACATCGAATACATTGCGGTTAGCGCTCTAGTATTCTTATTATTATCTCTATGGGGTCTTTATGAAGGTACCATATCCCCGATAGTTGACTATGCAGCAATGTACCCTTTGAATACAAAGATATAAAGGCAGCCGACTGTCGGGTACTTAACGACTATCTAACTATCTATTTTTTTTTCTAGGCCTAGTTCAGTACAGTAGTTACTGCGATGTGAGGGTGGTAGATCGTTCAGTCAGTGATATCGTGTTATAGTAATACATTTTAATAATGTGTGTACAATTTAAGAATGCACCGCGTGGGTCGCTTTCTTTGTTATGCGGTAGTAGTATACGTAGCAGAGCAATCTAAGCCTAGCCTAGGGCCTAAATGGTATACATTCTTGATCATCGACGATCGTAATGAAAACTTCGGGTGACAGACGATTGGGCCCAACTGGTGTGGACGATCGGACCCAAGATAGCTTCAAATAAATTGTAGGCCACTGGCACCACCCCCACTCCTGATATCGTTCCAAACTACTGTAAAATGAAATTACTGTATACCTAGGCCCTATGCCTAAGAATTTTTTTCAAAGAAATTTGCTAAAAATATTACTGTAATTTGCCTGTCGAAGTACATTACTAAAATCACTATTTTGGGGCATAAAGACTCCCCCTGTATTTTTTAACCTCCACACAAATTTGACAATCTTGATTTATATATATATATATATACATATGTTTATATATATATATAGATATGTGTATATATATATGTACCTTTGATGATTTATATATTTATATATATGTATATACGTATATATATGTATATACGTAAGTATATATATATATACATGTATACGTATATATATATATATACATGTATACGTATATATACGTAAATATATATATATACGTATTATATATACGTATAATATACATGCGTATATATATGCACGCGCATGTGTATGTACACGCGTATGTGTACACGTGTGCGTGTATATATGCACACGCACGTGTGTATATATATATATATATATAAAATACGAGTATACGTGTATATATATATATATACGTGTATTTTTAAGTTGTGTATCATGCATAGGAACGTTGACGCCTGAAAGGCTCTGGTTTTTTTTCGATTTCAGACTCAAAATGTTCTTGTTTTTACACACGTTTCAAACATACAAAATCATTATTGTACAGGCTCAGTATAATGCACTTTATTATACAAGGTATGACATAGCCACACCTACTGCAAGTAAGATAGAGATAAGATTTATTGGTTTTCTATTTTGGTTTTTTTAAGTAAAAAACTGAGCCTCAATTTGTTCTTAATTTTTAAGCAATTTCAGCCTCAGTGTTCTTATAAAATGTGTTCTTATATATGAAAAAAAGTGTACTGTACTACTGATGAATAAATATACCACAACATGTAAAACGTTTTTATTTTTTTAAATTTTTACTCAATAAATTCAGGAATAACCTAAATGGAGGCTCTAAGTAAAAAATCGGCTGAGGAATTAATTGCAGAATTTGGTCTTCAAGAACATATTGAAGGGGGATATTACAAGCAGACATACCGATCCGAACACAGTACTGCAATATACTACCTGGTTTCCAAAGGGAGCGGAATTGTATGGCACCGCATTCGGGGAAGAGATGAACTCTGGCATTATTATGCTGGGGATCCTATTGAAGTGTCGCTTGCAAATCCTGAGGGTGTTTCAATGGGCAAGCGTGTGGTCGGACCAGACTTGACCAAAGGTCAAACTTTCCAACTACTGATACCAGGCGACCACTGGCAGAGTGCTAAATGTCTAGATGGCGGAAAGTGGACATTGTTTGGCTGCACCGTTAGTCCAGCCTTCGAGTATAAGTATCTTCAGATTGCCCCAGATGATTTTAAACCAAAAGAAGGTTTGTATATGTTTAATAACTGAGTTGTAAAAATATATGTAAGAAATTTATTGTAATTAAAGTACAACCCCTTCTTTGGGGCCCTTCCATTCAGGGGACATCCCAAGGGGACATTTTCCACAAAACGAGGGAAATCCATGATAATTCTTATTAAGGGGACACCCATATTAAGGGGGTAACCATATTAAGGGGGTGAGACCACTTCCTGTGTGGGTGTGCCAAAATGGTCAGTTCGTTTCACCCACTAATTTTAACAAAGGGACCAAATTTAAACTGTAATTACAACACCAATTGAAAGGTAACCCTATGTTTTCTCTTTCTCCGAATGTTACAATCATTTAACATTAGCAAAGATGTAATGTTACCTTGCTTTCAAATAATTTAAATATTATATGTTAGTTCCTACCATCTGATAATGAACGTTCCTAGAGTGTTAAATATTAATCACTGATCAATTAGAGCAGGATCAGAAGTACGCGCTTGTCCCACAAACGCATGTGTTTTTGCGCACGTACGTGCGCCGTCGTTCGCGAGCGAGTTTTGGTGGAAGATCTTATAAAGTTGTGCTATGATGAGTAGGCTAAATGAATAGATAGTCTGCAAATGATAAGTTTGATAAGATATGCATATTTTTTTTTCTATTGCAGGTACCGACTGAAGTCCAATAATACTATTTGGCTGTTTCAGAGGGCAATTCATATGTTAATCTTTCCCTTCACTGGCAGTATTTTTTGTTGTCTAGTTTTTGTTCGTTGCCAATTGTTTAAATAAATAAATAAAAATAGAGTGTAAAGTTCTTCTTGGAAGGGAACTGATTATCTAATATAATTAATACTAGCCTATATACCGAACAGTAGTGTACTTTACTTAAATTTTTTCTCTTATTTTTCGTCATCTTCCAGCGACACGGCCGCATTCTCCAAAAACTACACTCTGCAGAACATGTTCAACTTTTATGTTAACATATAGGCTCCAATTTCACTTTTTCTATATCATATTTTTGTTGTTTGTCACTTAAATGTCATTTTGTCTACCAAGCATAACATATTTCTGGATATTTGATATATAGACCAATAAAAGTTTTTGCATGGAGGTAAAAAATAAGGGTTTTGGTGTTAAATTATTTATTATTATTTATGTAGGCCTAGGTATAATACAAACTATCCTTACTGTAATAGGCCTAAACAAAATGGAATAAACGTTGCCATCATATGCATTCTTATACTTTATTTAATATTCACTTTAAATGTACAGTAGACAAAAAAATACCCCTCTTTAACAAACACATCACATTCTTTAGTATAACAAGTTAGTTATATATGAAAAGTATAGAACTGCAAGAAGTCCGACTCTTGGGTTTTCGTTGGAACACAATCCTTTTTCAAAAAGCATTACCATGAGCTAGAGGGCATCCTTTAAAAAACGTAAAAGGTGTTTGTATCGAACATGTCCTATGTCAAAACATAGCCCCATACAGCACCCTCTATCTTGTGGTAGTACTTCTTTAATGTTTCAGTAAGTGCATACAAAATCAGAGCAGTCAGACCTCTTGTAATTCTATACTATTTGCTTATATATAAATAATTTGTAATAAATGCAAGTAAATTCAAACATAATAGAACAAAGCATTGCAATTTTCTGTCCACATTATCTGTGTTTTCTGTGACAAATATCCGAGTTGCTATAAATGGGCATCACAACAATTTATGGGCAAATCACAGGTACTTGTCAAACAAGTATTTATAGTATTTCATTTTTCCCCACTCCCTCGCATTACTTGCCGGTGGTGCAGTAGAAATAAAAATAAAAACTACAATAAATCTAGCAATTACAAATTCAAGGGAAAGGGTTTTTATATTTCTTAATTTTACAAACATTAGAATTTGGGTTTTTTTTAGGTGTATATAAAAAAGTATATAGATCTATCTCATGCAATATCTGATATTATCCTAATATTATATCTACAAATTTTCTGATCAATATGGTAAGAATCTTGTAATACTAATTAATACCACTCCATTATATTGAATCAATAAATAATTACACTTAGGAATATTTTTAGCATACCAGTATATGATTTTATATTCCATTTTATTTTATTTTTTATTTAAAAAACATCTGCAATTCCATTTCTTATCTGTTGAAGATAAATACTTCTAAAATTGCTTAGATTGGTACCAGATAAAATAATTTTGTTATCAACATTAATACATTATGCTAATTTTCATCTTTGTAAGCG